AACCAAGCTGGCAGCAGCAGAGCGAACGTGGCAGCAGTCGTGCGAGGCCATGCGCACCGCAGCGACTTCCTTGCTGAAGGATGGCCAGGCCACCCTTGCCAATTTCCAGGCCTTGATCGAGAAGGACGATTACAAGGCTGAGATGAGCATTCTGTCGAAACGGCAGGAGTGGCTTGCAGCGACTTTGGAGGAGGACCCAGAGCAGCTGCGCAGTTTGATCGTCGCGCAGAAGGCTGCTGCTGGCAAGAAAGATCGCTGCAACAACAGCCCAGGCGGCCCAGGCTCTGCTGCAGATGCACAGACAGTGACAGCTGCGGAGGATTTCGCTGCCATGAGTCGAGCCCCACCTTGTGCTTCTTGGGCCTCCATGGTGAACTTCACGCAGCTGAAAGGAATGGGGAGCTTCTCTGAGTGCAGGAGCCAAAAGGACATCCGGGACAAGAATGACCAGTTGAAGAAAATCCGTGCAAACATGCAGAGCTTGCTGTCAGCCACAAAGGCAGCAGGCAATGATCTGGTGAATGCAAAGAAGAGAGCTGACGCAAGCCGTCAAAAGCAAAAGGAGAAAGCTGAGAAGAACGCAAGAAAGAAACAGGCAGAAGCTGATCCAGACATCAAGCCAAAAAGAAAGCGCGCCTTTGGCAATGGGCCAAAGACACCCCCGTTGCTAAACCTCGAGCTCGGTTGCTTGGTGGACATGCCCGCGTTGGAAGCTTCCGGGAAGGAGGCGTGGAGCACGCAGGCCTTGATGAAACCCTGGCTCATTCACGGGCCTGACATCTTGGACAAGGGGGACGCGGACGTGCGAGATTTCGCCTCCGTCTTCAGAAACAGCAACCTGAGAGTCACAGAAGGTTTCGCTACTCGGAAGCTTTCTGATCGCCTCGCCATCCGCTTTTGCAAGGATGCCAGCCACGCGCTGCACGATGTCTTCCAAGTCGGACCGCCAGGGCCAGACAGTGACCCGGCCGCCCAGTGGGATTCAGCATTCACGAAGGGAGGCTTGGCACCTGCTTTCTGGGCCATGGTCACACAACATTGCTCCATGACCAAGTTTCAAACTGCGCTGGCGCCCACCGTGAAGTACATCTGTGAGGGGACCGCCCTGGTCTCTGTGTGGGTTCCCAGACAGCTGCTTTATCCAAGAGCTGGAACGCCAGAAACTGTGCTGATGACTGCCGACTTCCAAGCGAATGCAATGAAGGCCACGGAGGAGGATGTGAAAAAGGTGCAGGACGCATGCCCTGAGATCTACATCGGAACTGTTGGCCCCAGGGACATGCTCTACATCCCTCCCGGATCTTTGTTCAGCGTGCAGGCATTGCGACACAATGTATGCTCAGTCATGATTTGCATGATGCATGATGTTGCGTGTGGGTTGGGGTTGACTGATGTGAGTGAGGTCTGGGCAGGCCCGAGAGTCCGAGAGTCCGAGAGCCCTGCCCCTGCCCATGTCATTGCAAAAATTGACATAAAGTTGAGATCCTATCCCAAGTGAGCACTGAGCACTTTTTAATTCAAGGTGAAGCAACACGACCTCATCGGGGTGAAGGCTTCCCTGTTGCATAGTGGAATGGCCGAGTTGCTGACGCTACTGAGCAAGAAACTGTCGAGCACACCATCCAAGAACGAGACCAAAGTGCGGGCAGCACTTTTGCAGCTGGCCGAGTACGCAAAGCATGCTGTGCCGAAAGACAGTTCACCGAGAGCGCAGGCCAGGGTTCACGGTTCATGCAACATGCTGCGTGACTGCGTGCAATGGTATGGATGTTCAAGACCGGAATGCGTTCATGGGATTCATGTCTCACTTGACGTACATGACGTGTAAGCCAACTATAGCCTTGTTTCAGACGTTTTAGACAGCTGAGTCTTGGTTTCAACCATTTCAACCAACCCGATAGGCAGAGAAAGCGAAAGCAGCGGAAGAGGCTTTGCTTCAAATCTCTGAGGAGATGAAGGCAAAGAAGGCAGAGGAGGAACAGAAGGCAGAGGAAGCAATGGCAAGGGCAAGAGAGGAGGCAGCCAAGCAAGCCAAAGAGAAGGCTGAAGCGGCAGAGCTGGCGAAGCAAGCTGAGGAGAGCAGAAAGGCAGAGGAAGCAAGGGCAAGGGAGGAGGAGGCAGCCAAGAAAGCCAAAGAGGAAGCTGAAGCGGCGGCAGAGGCAGCAAAGCAAGCGGAGGAGAACAGAAAGGCCGAGGAAGCAAGGGCAAGGGAGGAGGCAGCCAAGAAAGCCAAAGAGGAGGCTGAAGCGGCAGAGCTGGCAAAACAAGCTGAGGAGAACAGAAAGGCAGAGGAAGCAAGGGCAAGGGAGGAGGAGGCGGAGTCAGCCAAGAGAGCCAAAGAGGAAGCTGAAGCGGCAGAGGCAGCAAAGCAAGCGGAGGAGAACAGAAAGGCCGAGGAAGCAAGGGCAAGGGAGGAGGAGGCAGCCAAGAAAGCCAAAGAGGAGGCTGAAGCAGCAGAGCTGGCAAAGCAAGCTGAGGAGAACAGAAAGGCAGAGGAAGCAAGGGCAAGGGAGGAGGCAGCCAGGAAAGCCAAAGAGGAAGCTGAGGCGGCAGAGGCGGCAAAGAAGGCAGAGGAGAAGCAGAAGGTAGAGGAAGCAAAGGCAAGGGCAAGAGAGGAGGCAGTCAAGAAAGCCAAAGAGGAAGCTGAAGCGGCAGAGCTGGCAAAGCAAGCTGAGGAGAACAGGAAGGCAGAGGAAGCAAGGGCGAGAAAGGAGGCAGCCAGGAAAGCCAAAGAGGAAGCTGACGCGGCAGAGGCGGCAAAGCAAGCGGCAGCGGAGGAGAAGAGAAAGGTGGAGGAAGCAAATGCAGCAAAGGCAGCCCAGGCGCAGGCCCAGATTGGTCAGGCTCAAACAGCAAAGAAAGCAAAGGATGAGAAAAAACAGGCAGAAGATGGAAGAAAGCAGGCCATTCTGCCATTGGCCTTCTTGTAGCAGCCGCCGTACTGGGAACCTTGTAGGGCTGCCAGAGTGTAGCAAAGAGAACATCAGAAGCCATCCCCCACCCGGCCGGCCCCACCTTGCCCTGGCACGCTCAGTTGAAGCTGACTTCGTACGGGTCGGACAAGTCGCGTGGCTCACGCAACGTTGAGTGAGTGATTCCACTGCCACAGCAAAGGTCTCACATCCCGGGTCCCAGGCCCAAGCCTTCTCCAAGGAGGCACTGCATGTCACTGTATCCTTTCCCAGGCCTCGCGGTCGTCGAACTGACCCGCAAACTGTACAATCCATGAATCCATAGAGGCCTTCTTTGTAAGCCTGCTCCAAGGCCCTGAGCTGGAACTGCTAGTTGCGTCAGCTGCGTTGGCATTGGCGTCAAGCACTCAAGAGTGCCAAAGCTATTCAGCCCAAGTAGCCAACTCGCAACTTGTGTGGTTGCTTGCAAATCTCCCAAGCAGCAGCTGACCAGCTGCGCAGGGCAGCTCTTCTACTTCAACTTCCGCGAAACTCCTCGCGAAAAGACCCCGAACTTTTCGATTCTCGCATTGCAGACTGCAACCTATCACACCGCTTGTTCGCTTGTCATCTTCTTTGGATTGCGCGGCATGGTCTTGGTTTTGTTCTGAGGCTCCCAGCCCAGATGGGATCCGATGTCAAGCTGGCAACCCAGTGCAGTTCATGCTTGAGCATTCATCAAGCAGTGCAGTTCATGCTTGAGCCTTCTGACCTGCCTTGCCAGTTGGCCCAGGCCCAGGTCTTGCAGAATCTGAGTGCGCTGAGCGTGCTGTCCCGACTCACACCTAGCAGCAACTAACACACCTATCATCAGCTTTAGAATTTGACCCTAAACCCTATAACCCCGAATTTTCTAAACCCTAAACCCTCAACCTCAACCTGCAATCCTAAACCTGAGCCTTCCGGAAAGTGAGTTTTCTGCAGTCGCAGCCACCGTGGATGAGCAAAATGTGTCGCTGGAGTGATTGTAACTTAGTTTCTTCCAGGGCGCATAGTTGTTCTTCTCAGGCTACGCCTGTTACGCCAGCCAGCCGGCCAGTTCTCTTTTGGATATTGTTTTTTGCGTACACGTGGTTTTGGACGTATTAGAAGTACACCTGAACTTTTGTTTTGGCTGCGCGTCACGATTTCTGCTTTAATTTTGTTTGCCCCACCAACAAGGCAGCTATGTGGTATCATGATGCCTTTTTTGTCTGCTGCAGCTTCCTGAGACCCAACCGCGAAGGACACACACAACGTACCACCCTAAACCCTATGCCCTAAACCCTAAACCCTAAGCCCTATGAAAGTTGCATGCACTGTCTGTACAGATTTTTGGCCGATAGCAGGCTCAAGGATGTCTGTCGCATGCTTGCGCCAGAAGCAATCAACGTGACTTGCAGCATAAAGTTCACTGACGTGTGCTGCATCTAAATGCGGCCATTTCTTGTTGAAGCGCTGTGCGCCGGACATGCTTGATATTTTACGAACAGTGCGGCTCCTCGCCGGACATATTTTCGATGAGAGTGCCAAGGGTTGAACCCTAAACCCTAAACCCTAAACCCTAAACCAGTTTTCTGCAGAGTGTACAGCGCGTACAGAGGCCACGGGCTGATGAGTTGTTCAGCGCCCTTGTGTCGGTCGCAAGTGGCCACGCACCTGAATACTACCCAGAGGCTCCAATGTAGTTCCTTTTTGGGTTAGTTATAGGAGATTTTAGTATGCTACCCCAAAAAGGTACTACATAGGAGCCTTTGGGTATCGTTCGGAACTCAACCGACCAAACAAACCCTGCCACACGGGCTCGTCCTAGCGAAGTGGGAAACCCTAAGCCCTAGTGAACCCTAAACCCTAAAACCCTAGAACCCTAAAACCCTAAACCCCTAAAACCCTGAAACCCTAAAACCCTAAAATCCTAAAACCCTACAACCCTAAAACCCTACAACCCTAAAACCCTAAAACCCTAGAACCCTAGAACCCTAGAACCCTAGAACCCTAAACCCCTAAACCCTGAAACCCTAAAATCCTAAACCCTGAAACCCTAAAACCCTAAACCCTAAACCCCGGAAGGCCGGAGCAAGAGTTTGCGTCCGCGCCTTCTGCAGCTTGGCGCGGGGCGCCGATGCCGAGCCTCACGCGCTGCCCCTGGGGCCAGCAGGTTTGGCCTTCAGGGAGGGTTTAGGGTTTAGGGTTTGGGGTTTGGGGGTTTGGGGTTTGGGGTTTAGGGTTTGGGGGTTGGGGTTGGGGGTTTAGGGTTTTGGGTTTAGGGTTTCGGGGTTGGGGGTTAGGGGCTGGGGTTTAGTAAGGGTTTCGGGTTTAGGGTTTGGGGTTTGGATGTTCCCCTTATACTAACAGTCCTTAACAGGGACTATAATAGGGGGTACTACAATCTTCCCTATTAAGAAGTGTTAGTAAAAGGGGGAACATCCCAAGTTTGGGGATGTTGCGGCAGAGTTCAAGTCAAGTTTCATGGGATGAACGCATACCGTCGCGAGGAACGCCGCCAAATCATGGACAAGCGTGTAGTCTTGGCAAAGGCAGCAGCTTCACCTTGGCTCAAAGTATTTCGGCAACTGTACTGAAAAAGTGCGACGGAGAAACAACGGCGCACACAATACTGTTGCCGCAATCTGCTCCGGCAAGCAAGGAGCAGCCACACTGCGTCACATATACACTCTGGCCCTGCCAGAAGGTCTCTGGACCTCTTTCAGCAAACACACCCGAAACCAATCAAGCGAGTCTCCCGGATGTTCCAAGGTCCCCTCCTCCCCTCCTCGATCGAGCTCTCGAGCCCGGACTCCATCTCTTGCGAGCGCCTGTTGGACGACGTAGCCGTGCCCTGCCTGTGATTCACACAAGGAGGGCACCCCCCCCCCCCCAAGTTGCAAGTAGAGTTATAAGAACCCTAAATGGGGTAATAGGGGTCCTAGATTAGGTTTATAAGTCCCTTAACTACAGTTAGTATAGTAAGTGGGCCCCTCCTTACATAGCCACAGGGCAATGGCTTGGGGGGTGGTGGTGGGCATCGTTGGGGGCGGATTTCTATGCATTTAAGGCATTCGCCGGTGCGAATCTCGTGAACGATGGGGGCTTTTACCGTTGGGGAGAGCATTTCGGTTCCGCAGCCTTGTGGTCGCGTGTGCCAACTCAACGCCCGCCCAGGTTAGACCCTAAAAACCCTAAACCCTAACCCCAAACCCCACACCCCAAACCCCAAACCCCAAACCCCAAATCCCAAACCCCAAACCCCAAACCCCAAACCCCAACCCCAAACCCCAAACCCCAAACCCCAAACCCTAAACCCTCAACCCTCAACCCTAAACCCTAAACCCCAAACCCTAAACCCTAAACCCTAACCCTAAACCCTAAATCCTAAACCCTAAAAACCCAGCCTTGCCTGCGCGTGCGCTAGTGTGAGAGTCGAAAACCCAGAGCGCCTTGCGAGTCCAGGCTACCTCCGCGTCTCCATGTCGGGTACAGTGCTCCTTCTTGGCGTGGAGGCTTCCATCTTACAAGGAGGGGGCCCCCTAGGCGTAAGTAAGAATCCTACATTGGGTTAAAAAGGATCCTAAATCCTAAATTCGGTTATAAGGCCCTTAGCACTGGCCCTAGCTACAGTTCGTATAGCAAGGGGGCCCCTCCTTGTAAGATTCTTAAGATGTGCTTCACAGTTTGTGGCATGTCTCCCGGCATGTGCTGCGCTTTCTGTTTCGACCTCCTAGGCCTGCTCCCTTAACCCTAAACCCGAAACCCTAAACTCTAAACCCTAAGCCCTAAACCCTAAACCCTAAACCCTAAACCCAAAACCCAAAACCCAAAACCCAAAACCCTCCCTCTAGGCCTTTTGCGCCGAGCTGCTGCCGCCAAGTGGAACATTACGTCAGTGCTTGGCACGCATTGCTGCTTGGACGCAGAAGCCAGGGGAAGAGTGCCGAACTGCGATACTACATGAGAGCGTCAGATACCGAATTAACTCATTGTCTAAACCTTCTTTGCGAATCGATTGCGCTCTGTACCCTAAACCCTAAACCCTAAACCCCAAACCCTAAACCCTAAACCCTAAACCCTAAACCCTAAACCCTAAGCCTAAACACAACTTGCGAAACTGGCAGGTCGGCGCCTTCGCTCCCGAACCTGCTGTGGCTGTCAGATCCGGAGAGGGTTTCGAGACCCTGCGGCTGGTTTAGGGTTTAGGGTTTAGGGTTTAGGGTTTAGGGTTTAGGGTTTAGGGTTTAGGGTTGCGTTCATCTTGCACCTGGCTGCTGTCATCCACTGCAGTAACTCTGCACTAGACGTCCAATCAAATTGGGTGCTTCCGGAGCTTTTGCTGTGTGTCACTTCGTGCTCTCTGACACATCGAACATGTCTGGTGTCGATGATGGGCTTGAGTTTAGCTTGCTGTGGCAAAATGTCATCATAAGCATCGGATGGAGTCTGCTTGATCTCCCACCGATAGTTTTACTTACGGTAAATGCAGTGCGAGCGTGAATGAAAGCTCGTGAGGAAGTCGTCCTATGCCGTGCTCTGGAATGATGTGATGAGCTTCTCCTCAGCGATGCGCTCCCACTATGATCTGGATGCCAAGGTGGTATCCCTGAGCTTCTAAGCTAGGTCGGCCCTCGGGACACTATTTATATATATATATATACATATATATATATATATACACATGTTTATGGTTCCCTTAGTGGGGACCACGTTTAGGAATATTGTTCAGAGGGTTTGAAGGGCCAACCTAGTAAGACTTGGGTCATGACTGCAAGGACTCGGATTGAGGGTACTCAGACACAGGGTATTTGCGGCAGCGAAGTGACGGAGACATGACCCGAACAATGTTGTGTCATGTTGTCGTGTGCGGTTGTTACCTCCCTTTCAAACCCGAAACTCGCTGTGGACTGCTTAAGTTCTGAGTTGAGATCTGCGCCAGGTGGGGCGGGATGAGGATGTCGTGAGCCCTGCCACAAAGTCTCGACGGCACGTGGATCTAGGGGTTTAGAGTCTAGGGAATCCGAAACCTACCTCCTTTTTTCTGTAGGTTGTGATGATAATAACCCTTGACAGGTTGCCTAGGCAACCTACCAAAACAGTAGAGATCCAGGACCAGACGGGGAGGAGACTGTGTGTGTGTGTGTGTGTTCCTGGAGGTTGGCGGCTGTTGTGTTTCGCCATTTGGTTGGGGGGGGGGGGTCAAGGTGCAGACGCGTGTGCATTTGAGGCTGCGCGGTTTAGGGGGTTTAGGGTTTAGGGCAAGGAGTCCAGTTGTAGAAAGGGTTTAGGGTTTCACTAGGGTTTAGGGGCCTGCTTGCAATCCTTGTCCAAGGATTGCTTGGATCGGGGGCACCTGCCTGGAAGCATTCCTGTGCTTTCTGGCCTGCATGGCGAATCAGACACTCGCTTGGGAAGTCTTCCACTGTCCTACATGGGTCTCAAGGTTACAACGCACCTAATACGAGCAGGCTCATTCTACTATATCCCCCTTGGGAATTATTTTTTGTTCATATAACACCCAAGAGGATATTAAACATATTATGTTTATTAAGGTTCCAAGGGGAGCATTGTCTAGGGATTCCCCAAATTCTGGAAGTCCTGAACCTGATCATCTTATTTTGGCATCCTTTTGGCTACTGGGTCTCTCTGTCTTCCATGGCTTTCAAGACTGGAGCCCTAAGAAATGATACGCCAATGGGGTTTAGGGTTTAGGGACCCCTAAACCCTAAACTGCGAAAAGCTAAGCCCGAAACCCTAAAACAATCCAGAAACAGCTATCTGCTGTGAAGCCTCAGGTGGTGCTTCGTGGCGCTGGGCAGTGCCCCAGCTCAACGGTCCTGGCTATTCTTGGTATCGGGGGGTTATCTAGGTACCCCCAATAGGTGCCGTATCAGAAGGAGTACCCAACAAAGGGGCCAAACCTAAACCCTAAACCTAACCCTAAACCCTAAACCCTATCGGCCATCATTTGGAGAACTGCCTTTTTGGCCCGAAGCCAAACTTGTAACAGATCACGCGTTGTTCCATTCAGGAGATATTGGAATGACCCCGGAGAGAGCGACATGCCCCGCTTCTCAGAGGCTCCCAGCTTTCTGCCCTGCGCGTGGCCCTACCAACTCTGACAGTTGGGGAGCGGCCTCCGGACCTGGACGAGGTTCGGCATCCAAAATTCCGGGGGGACTGGTTGTTCTTCTTGTGACAATGCTTCTTACAACTTAGCAGCAGCAGCAGCAGCAATAGCAGCAGAAGCAGTACCATCAGTACCCGAGGCAGCAGAAGCTGGCAAGTTACTTATTTGCACCACGCCACGAGGGTATCGCAACATAGGGATCAGCAAGCAGCCCAATGACGACCCCTCGGAACACCATACGAATCTTGTTAGGTGCTGCATAGATGGCCTTTGCACAGACATTGTGCGTCGTCCCGGAAACCACGGGCACATATTCACGTGCAAGTTGAAACCTGTAACGGTCGCTGCGCAAGTTTGTGCCAGGAACTTGTGCCTCCCACATTCGGGGTGTAGTCTACACCATGACCGTAGCGGCGTTTCGGCACGCCATGTTTTGTGAGGTCAAATTGATCATGCCGCAGAGCTTAAGGCGCCAATTTTTAGGCATGAGATATCTTCCTGCTTTTCATAGTACGTGTCACCAGCACATGGGCTTTTATACCCTGTAACCCTGCTTAAAAAGGGTTGATTCTGGGGATTATGGCGCCGAATGGCCCATCCTGGTATGGTGTGTCTGCATACGTTGTTTGGTATAAAGTCCGATGCAGGAATAGGGTTCAGGGCTACATGTCCTTGCAGTTCTGCTTGCATTTCCCAGCAGTTCCTGTCAGTTTTCTGGGGGTAGTTCCTGCAACTCGGTTTCTGTTAGGCTGGCTTCTCTTTCGCCCCTCCCCCCACCCACACACACAAAGAATCAACACTCTTCGAAAAGCTGCAGTCAGTAGCCTGGCATATTTTTGTAGCCAAACAACCATGACGAAACCGACCCCTAAGAACCCCAAGCCCTCGCCATCTTCTTCACAGGTTACCTGAGAATCCTACAAAGGGGATGTTATGTCTTAACCTGCAGAAAGGTAGGGTTAAGGTTGTCACCCTTTTCAACCTTAAAGAGAAACCCTTTTCCTGCACCGGAGCCTTTGCAAGGTCCCCCACCTGCCTGCCGCAGCAGTGGGAGATCTGGTCCGGCGCTTTTGATTTGAACCTGCTAATAAGGGCTGACGGATGTTGAGGGTTTAGGTTTTAATATAGACATTATCAACCATATCGCAATATACAGTTGTTACATTCTGTTATATTATGTTTTACGTTGGGATTAGTTTCTTCGTAACTTCCCCTTGCCGGGCTTGTGGGGGCTTATTTCGAACTTTGTCACATGGTGTCAAGAGCCCAACCAGGTAGCAGAACAGCGGAAAGGGCATGCCCCGCAGAGTCAAGCCCGGAAAAACGGTAAAGGGTTTTAGGGTTTAAGGTTTAGGGTTTAAGGTTTAGGGTTTAGGGTTTAGGGTTTAGGGTTTAGGGCTAGGGTTTAGGGCTTAGGGTTTCAGGCTCCAGCAAGTCCAGCTTCCAAAAAGGGTTTGGGGCCAATGGCACACACGTTTTCCCTGAGGCAGCGCCTTCACCTCCCAGAAGCACCGGAAGCATCACTGAGGAGGTCGGCTAGCATGCGCCTTTGCCTTGGGGCAAGGAGGCATCTGTAGGGGTCTAGTTTGAGATTCTGAGGTTTAGTGTTTGAGTGTGTGTGTGTGTGTGCCTGGGTTTTGGGAGTTTTTGCCTGCGGCAGAATTGCCTTGCTGATGGATAGTAATTCCTGAACCTAGGAAGAGAGTCAGCAGCGTCGTCGTTAGAGGTCTCAGGGAATTGCCACTGAGGATCTTCACTTCTGGCTCCACCGGAACGCCGAAAGCCATACGGCGCAACTTGACACAAGTCCTACATGAGGCAGGTTTATGTTGCTGCTAGACGAATGTGTATATGCTTCCTTATGCACATTACATTACAGTGCTTGCTGCACATCCTACACACCCCTCATGCCACAATGAGGTTCAGCCAAAGGCTACCTGGCCCCCAGTGTTCTGGACAGGTTCTGAGAGGGACCTTTCGTCGTGCACAGTGCTGGCGGTTCCAAACTCGTCCGAGGCGACCATGAGGAGCTCTATTCCTTCCTGTGGCTCTATGCAAAAGCGGCAACCCCCGACAGCAGCTTAAGGGCACTTGAGAAATTGATCTTGGGGTTTAGGGTTTAGGGCTTTTAGGGTCTTAGGGTTTTCAGGGTTTAGGGCTTAGGGGTTCGTGCGAAAACGATGAGTTCGGCCTGCTTGATGCACATAGGTCCATGTTGGATGAGCGCCCCTGTCTCAACTAACTTCAGAGTCGCTTCCATGCCTCCTACCCTTGCGGCCAAGCCTTGAATCAGCTGCAAAAAGTCGTAACAACGAAAGCGTGAAACAAAACCAGACATCTGCACGCCTGAGGTCCCTGCCACCTGGCTTATCAGCCGTACTCACACATGAATGAGCAGCTGGGCACCGCAGCGGCCTTTTTGCAAGGCTCGTGCGTGGCGCCACTCAGCACCAACTTAGGGCTTGTCAAGCGATTCTAGGGCTTCCCGCACCCCTCAGAGGATCCGAAAAGTAGATCCGCTTAAGGTTTCCTCTAAGCCACCTGGTTGGGCTGTCACCATAGCCGAGGTTTTCTAGTGCGCAGACCGCCTATGCCGACGCAAAGATCGTCGAGCCAACGGGCATTCAAGGACGCCCGGCCTGCGGTACTGGCCGATTTAGGTTTAGGGTTATGGTGTTTAGGGCTTTGGGTTTAGATACTCGTTCGATGCGTCCTCTCATCCACGGGGCTGATGTGCGGCCACATTTGAGTGGCTTGGTGGTAGGGGCGGTTCTTCAGAGGACCGAATATGAGTTCAAACTATAGCCCCTCCCCCCCCCTTCTATCCCTGCATGACTGGGATCCCTTGTGCGTTTTAGTGGAGTAGACCCGGATGTATCTTAAAGGCTTGCCAGACAGGTTGCGTGCGAGAGAGAGAGATGGTTTGTTTTTGTGATTTTTGGTTTAAGACCCAAAATATGAGGAGTCTTACGGATCAATGATTCAATGATGCGGCGGCTGCAAGTAGTTGCTCATCCCTACACCCTAACCCTGAACTATGATTATTGTTGATCAGAGCACATTTTCATTATGTATTATATTGTACCGAATAGTACTATACTAGGTTATTTCATATGCTCAGCTCTCGAAATGACATTCGTGTGATGATACGGAGCCTGATATTCAGCGCGCCCAAAATGGTGCCTGCATCTGGAGGCCTCCGAAATGCGAAACACCCCCCTACACCCATAAACTTAAACCCTACTGTTGCTTAAATTCTGGTTACCTGCATCGTGAACGTCTCTCACATCCCCATTCTCGCCCGCCCGCGTATGCCAGTGCAAGTCTCGAAGCCCTAAACCCTGGATCCTAGAACTTTGCCTGGGGCTACAGTTTGATGAGCTATACTTGACTAACTAAGGCGTAGTTCCTGCTAAGCTGTAGGTAGATAGAGTCCCAAGTAACCCTAAACCCCGAAACCCCCCCCTCCACATTGCTCAAGGGGTGCCGCGGTTCTTCGAGCCTCTCCTCTGCGCATATGAGAGCCGGGAGGCCCCGCTTGAGGCCAGCGAACTCACTTTGTTAATTCAGGGTTTGGGGTGTAGGGTTTGGGTGTTTTAGGAGTATTTAAGTATTTAGGGTGTGTAGGGTATTTAGGATTGGGGGTTACATGAGAAGTCCTGGGCGGTTATAGTAAGAAGCTAGAGATAAAGCAGGACTTGGGATTGGAGAGGGTGCAGGGCTTGGATTCTGGCTTTTTGTGTTTGGGGTCTACGCCTAGTTATACAAGGAGGGGCCCCCTTACCATACTAACAGTTAAGGGACTTGGAGCTTGGTCCTGATAACCCAATTTCGGGTTCTTATAACTCTATACTTGTCACTGGGGGGGGGGGGCCTCCTTGTCTGTATACCATACACATGCCACAGTGTCGAATGTGCACGCTGCATGGCGACGGATTTCCGATAAGAAGCCATCACAATGACCGCCGTGGGGACGGCGTTATTGACAAGTTTGAGATGCAAAAAAGGCTGGAGCCCAAAAGAAAAGCTTCGAGGATCGCTGTATCGCCGTGAAGTGTTTACGACATGATCAGTTGATCAAGCGCCAGTTGTTTGTCCACCCCCCTCCACCCCCCACCACTCTCCTGGTGTTCTCTTGGTGCCCTCTTGGGGATCTCGGGCCAGGTTGCAGATATCCACAAGGGATATCAAGGGATGAAAGGGCCCCACCCCGCCCCTTCCCCATCCCGCTGGGCCCGCACATGAATTGGTTGCCAAATTTGGACTTAAGCAACATCAAGCAGATTCCCATGAAATTGACTCAAGCCGGGGGGGGACGGGATGAATTGGGGTTGACCTAATTAGATGATGGGCTTCCTTTTTGGTACCCTTAGCTGCAAGGAATGTACGTACATCGAGAAACAAAGCCGAACAGTTTAGATCAGCCCATATCAGCCCCCAATGAAGCGACCCGGAGATGGCGTAGAGGTGTTTTGGCATTTTTGGCACACCTGCGCTTGTCAAGATAATTGTCGAACGAAGTCGGTGACTGCTTCCAGACGATCGCCTCCTCGTAGAGTCTGACATGACAAGAAAAGAACTGCAACGGAATGCAGGAGCTGCGCAAAAGCTTCGGAGGCCGCTTGCACAGCGTTTCGACCGGGAGCGCTCCGGTGACGAAGAGGACTCACTGTGGAGAAGGGGTCAGATTGATCCAGTATTTTTCATGTGCAGTAAGAGGTTCGTTGCTTCAGAGGTTGCTGGCCACAGCGAGTTCATAGGTGGAAGAAACGTGCGTGGCTGCACCAAAATGCGACATCTGGTCACATCATACTCGGAGGTTCACGTGTATGTATACCTGGGGTTATAAGTAATTAAGGCACCTGCTGGTAGAACTGGTGACAACCCTTAATGTGGGCGCTTCTAACCCTACATCTTCTTTGTCTGCTATGTCGCAGAGTTCTGCTGGCGCTGGGAGGCTGTTCGACTTTCTACAGCTGTGCTTTGAGTCTGACCGCTGCAGCCACATGTTGGCATTTCCCTTCAACGGCTTCGGGGATTGCTTAGGGCCTTTAGGGTTTAGGGTGTAGGGTTTAGGGTTTCGGGTTTAGGGTTTAGGGCTTAGGGGCTTAGGGGCTTAGGGGCTTAGGGCATCGCTCACTTTCCGCAAGCCCAGGAGGTTGGCATCGTGCATTTTGCAGACAGAGAAAGCTTGTGACAAGAATGTCCATGTTGCGCCGGGCCATTGAGAACTGAGGTGTCACCAACAGATGCTTTGACCGCAACCAATGCATGGCTTTCTGGTTGGGGGATAAACATGCCTGATCATGACGGGCGGTAGAACCGACAACACCGACCCAGAAGCCTACGCGCACCTAATGATAAAACACACCGACAAAGCAGGGGACCAAGATGACAGCACGCCGACCCTGAGCTCGTGCGCTGAGGCTACGGAGCTACGGAAGTCGGTCCCATCGCTCACAATGGTCGTGTGAACCCCAATGTGGAGGAGCTCCTTCTGCACGTGTATGGGGTTGTGGTGACTCAACATGGGCGTCTCGAACGGGACGTCAACCACAGCATTCCAGAAAAGCATACTGCAAATAAGGAAAGGAAGCCATGTAAGCTGCTATACGTGTATATCGTAGATATACACACATTATATGTATATATATATATATGTATATACACATTATATGTATATAGCATGAGAACTGGTTGAAGTTTAGAAACGCCACCCAGACTTGGATTCCTAGTGGCACAGAGTTGGGCACAGGTGAAAGTCGTTCCGCTGGCCTCGCTTGGACACGACCCTGGCACTGTGGCTGCATGGTTTTACTTGGAGGTTCATGGTACTTATTAACCAATTATAACTGTACTTACAATCCACCACTAAGCCCCTCAAGTGCCCTAACGTAGGGTACAGTTATACCGAGAATTAGTTGTTTTTTACACGTGCGTGTAAACACGAATTACTTTACAGTTCTAATTGGTTAATAAGTACCATGAACCTCCAAGTAGAAGTGCCTCCTGAGCTCCTAAGATCAGCCAAGTGTTTGGACTTCCTCTTGCCCTTTTTCTTGGCTCGAGGTTCCCTTATGTAAATTACCTATAACCCTCAAAAGCGTAGCCTTATGATGACATGGTGGCTGGGCTACCGGAGAGTTTATGGGTTCAGCATCGGTAGAGGAAGCACGCGCTGCGAAATTTGCATCAAAGCCACGTTGCCCCGAAGCAGGAGGCTGCACGGGTGAGATCCGCGTGCGCTGCAAGAACGCTCGCCGCATGTCCGCAACACGTAAAGGGATTACTTCCCCGTCGTTTGTCGGGCAGCTCGTTGTACGGATGCTGTTTAGGAAATGTGTGGGGCCCGTGCACTTCTGTCTACGAACCGCTTAGCAGCAGTCCTCTACTCCTGCTCATACAGATTAGGTTTGGGATTTAGGGTCCGAAATCATAAACCCTCCTTGGACGCCCCTAACCCCCCATCTTAAAGAAGAACAGCTGAGGAGTTCAAGCTCGAGGATATGTTGGGGCAACACTTGCCCTGGATGAGGAGGGTTTCTACTGCACTGGATGCTGGGCTAAATTCGTGGGACTTGGCTATGTGTTGCGTTTGATTTCAGTTGGGTGGGCTTTGTTCAAGGCAACCCCCCCATGAGTAGATGTCCCCGCCTTAGCTCCTGGGGTCCGTACTGGCTCCCTGAAATCTCACGGGCCTGTTGATGGCTGAGGGTTTTTCTGAATTGAGGCCCTTTTGGTCTTGTGGATGCAGGGCTCTACAAAAGTCGCCCGAGACCACAGCTGAGGCGATGTGGGCCGCTACAAGGACGACTTTCTCGAGCTGCTAGGCTAGGCCTCAAACTCTGCTCATACCCTAACTCCTGATTCGTTAAATTTGCTAAGCACCGCCATAGTTCGTCCGAAGGCCGCGTCGGCAACGTGACCAAAATGGCAAACGGCTTGTTTCTCTCCGCTGAGGGGCTCGAGGAGAAGTATGCCCTTTGTCGGCAGCAAGGGCTTTGAACGGCACAGTGATGAAATCAAACGTTGTGTGCGGCGCACGCATGCCTAGATTGAGCGTTCTTTTGTGTACGGTGTGCGCTCCGACTTCACTCGCAGGAATGGATAAACCCCAAATTCATGGTCTTCAGGCAAGCTTCCTCCCGGACCTTGATCAGATCTTCGTGATCGCACTCCCGGAGGACCCTGATCTGGAGGGATCAGGGGCACTTCAGCTGGTTCGTAGATGTGCAGCACGTCTGAGTGAATGAGTGACCTTATGAACCGAATCACATGCTGAATCTGTGTTCATGCCCCCCCCCCCCCTTTGTGCATCTTAATAGATCATCTGCATGGGTCAGGAGAGTACGGTGGCTGCAGCATGCGTCCTGCACGGCTGGAGTTCACTGGATGAGCCGAAGCTTCTGTCCAGGGCTGAATCGCGCTTTGTGTGCTGTTTATTGATAGTCCCCAAGTTGAGCTGCAGCATTGCAGTATGTGGCGACCAAGGACCAAGCTGCAGCATGTTGCTGCGGAGCAAAAGCTGGGCAAGCACGAGGTAGCAGTGGCCCCAGACACGGGCTGTGCCAACCCACCATCGAATGGACTGGACCAACCGGCCAACCAACCCAAGGTCGTGATCGGAACAGGGATCCCATCCCCCCCCCGCCCCCGGCAAAATGCCCGGACTTGTCCTGTCCTTTGCTTGGAGGTATCCCGGGTCATCCTTGAAACTCAGCCGTGGACGTTCCAAAACGGCGGCTTGCTGGAGAACCAGATGCCTGTCTAAACCTTTAGACTTAGCTGAGTTTTGCTCCTCAGAACCTATAGGCCATCCACACGCCTGAGCACAACGTTTGACACTGAATGGGGGGGGGGGCTTGTTTTTTTTGCTGGTCAGTTTGTTTAGGGTTTAGGGTTAAGGTGTTAAAGTTTGGGTTTACACAGGGTTTAGGGGTGGGAGGGCGTGCCCATAGAAAAGAGGGTCCAGAATCACACGACAACGCTTGGCTCTCGCCCTGCGCGTTGCAACAAGGAAGATCAATCGACCAGCTTTGCTTGTGACTTGGCCTGACTTGGCCAACCACAGAGGATGCAAAGGAAGATGCACGGACCATGACATGCTGCGGGCTTTAAGCGCTAACATTATAAAAGACCAAGCAAGAAAACAAAAGGCGCAAGACAAAGCCCCATATGGCTCTCGGACACACTGCCTCTTCGCCAGGCTCGTTATAAGGTGCAGCTGGCCTCTGAGACCGCCGAGAGGCCAAAGGATTCCATGGAGATGGCGCCCTGGCCGAGGATGCTTCTCTTAGGGCAGTTACATGAAGTTACATGGTCCCTTGCTTCTGGGCATAGCCACAGAAGGGCACCCTTTTTTTGGTTGCTAGGTTGTGGGAGAATCTCGAGTGCTAGGTTTATGACCCCGGATGCAGCCACAGAGAGCACGTTGCCAAATATGTGTTTATGAATATGTTGTGATTTGAGATAGTTCTTGGAGTTCTGCGGTTTATGATTTTTGTTATGGAAAATTTGTGATTAGAATTTTATGATTGGTTTTAGTCAGTGTTATTTCGTTTCCATTAGAGAAACATAAAAACTGACCGAGTCATATCTTTCAAAAAATGACCGTGAATTTTCATAAGTTCGACGAAAACATGGTTTGTCATAAATAATCAACAAGTTTTCATAAAAGCGAAGAGACTCATAGATTTTCCGTAAGATTCATAAACCACAAAATTCCAAGACTCACATTTAAAACATAACCTTTACATGTAAACACAATGTTCCTTGAAACGTGGCCTTGGCTGCAGATCCAGCGTCATAATGCTAGATCCTAAGCATTTCTAAGCCCTATACCCCTAAACCCCGCACCAAGAAAGACGCTGAACTCGACTCAGCTTGCGAGGTCCGGCTCATGGCCGAGGCAACCTGGCTCTCTTTCGTGTACGTGGCTTTAAAGCGCTACCCCATTTGCAGGGTTTAGGGTTTAGGGGGATGTCGGGTGTAGAGTGCCTAAACCCGAAGCCCTAAACCTGTTTGGGGCGTGAACTAGGGGTTGTGTAATACAGGGGGGGGGGGGGGGGGGGGTGCTAGAAATGCTAGAATTCCTGGCAAAGATATGGGCATGTCCTATACCCCCCAATATACGGTTAGCCTCATTCTAGAGGAGGAAGGACCCCAAAAAAGGTACCACGATTTCCTTGAGGAGCACACCAAGCCGAAAAGTGTCTACAGTTCTTATACCTTAATAGGGATTATAGTGGTATAGCGCAAATAACCGAAATATAAGTTCATTTAGTTCTCCACGGGCTGGGACAATCCCCCAATGGGGTGAATGCCTTCCTTTCGGAGGTTGACTTCAAAGGCCAAGTAAAGCAAGCAACGAATTGGGTTTAGGGTTTAAGGCTTAGGGTTTAGGGAGCCCAAGAGCACACAAACACAGAGACGGACAGACCTGCTTGGGGCTGAGGGTTTTGTGTTTTCCGGGGCTTGGTGCCTGTGAGCATGTGGGTTTCCAGGCGAGACGCCGAGGAGTATCGCTGCCACCAGCGGAGCTCGCGCAAGAGCTGGTCGAGGCAGATTGGCACTAGGGTTGGGGCATCGTGCCAGCTGACTTAAAGAGTCTGGGTTCAAAAAAGGGTTTAGGGTTTAGGGTTCAAGGTTGCGGCAGGTTCCCTAAGTCTCGGTTTAGGGGAAGAAGGGCTCAGATGTTGCAAACTGTATCAAAGCCGCCCTCAGTCCTTGCATCGAAAGAAGGGTTCCGATCGATTGCAAGACGGGGCTACATGTATTTATGTATGCAAAAAAAGTAGGTGTGCACATATGTATATGTGTCTATACATGTTTCAACTAGTCTTACGTATTTTCACAAGGGTGCGCGCAAGAAAAGAAGGGTCCATATTCCCATGCTGCTTGCCAGGGCCATAGAAGCGTATGTTGCTTTGGCAATCCGGCTGACGAGTCTCTGCAGGGCTCCTTGGCACTTGTCAAAAACACGACCGGCCCCACAGCCTGAAACCAACACACACACACACACACACACTGACACACACACTGACACTGACTCTGACACTGACTCTGACATTGTGACTATAAACCCTAAACCCTTCCTTAGCGCCAACCTATAACACCAACACTGGCAAGAACACAGCCTATAGGCCGACCTGGCTGCTGCGCCCGCAGTCGCACCTGCGCCGCCGGTGACAGGTCCGGCACAGCGCTGGAGACTCAGGGGATGCGGGCTGATTGCGTTGCAGTTCGTTGCAGGTTTGGGGATTTGGGGCTTAGGGACGTTCAGGATTTTTTTGGGGAGGAGGAAGGAAGCCATGTTGACCAGGATGACAGCAGAAGCAGACAGGAGAATTGCCCAGGAGAATGACTCTAATGCTGCGGTAGCCTAGCTGCTATTCGTGGTGATGATGCCAAGTGACTGCGATGATGAGGGGTCAGTTCGCTGGTCCCTTTTAGTGGCCGCCTTCTAAATCAGGACCCCAAAAAGGACCACACTTGAGAGAAGTGACCATATCTCAGTCTCTTGCCTGATGAGTTAACCTTTTAATATTATACCATATAAATTATTATTGATAATATTATTATTATTTTTAATTAATATTATTATTAAATAGTAATTCACATTTATTACCTTGCTTGGCCCAGGTTTCCTCGTGACCGGAGCCGCAGGTCTGCTGGGCCGCCAGCTAGTCATGCGCCTGGTGGCTTCCGGCAGAGAGGTGGTCGCCGCCCGGCTCGCGCCGCTCTAGGCTTTTAGGGTTTAGGGTGCGGAGCTGCAATTGGTATTGTAGAAAGGAGTTGGTATTGGAAGTTGAAGGGTCAATGAACCCGGTAATCTTTGGCTCAAGCCATGACCAAAGCGGTCAAAGGTTTCGTAAAAAGTGTGCCCTTGGTTTGGGGTCTTGCTGTTCGGTTGTTGGTTGTTCCAGGGGTAATAAGGGCTTCTGTTGGGGTTGACTGTCTTGTTCCCTGTCCTCCTTCGGTTGCCCCCCGTAGGTTATGAGCCCAAATTAGGCTTCCTGCGGAATTGGTAAAGATTTTTCGTTTGTTTAACGCCATGGACATGATGCGGCGTCGCTCTGAGCCTGGACTGTCGCCAACGGCCAATGAAGCCGAAGGAAATCGTGGTGATGGGGGTGAAGATCGACAACAAATGGTACAAGCACTGACAGATGGTAGGGAGGTTGCAATGATACAACCAACGCCTCAGGTGGAAAACGAAGTGGTTCCGGTTCAAGCAGCAAATCCTTTCTGGAGCGAGCGGGCTCAAGAAGAAATGAGACTTAGGCAATCAAGGCCGGCAAGTCTTCCCGCGAGCGGAGGGGATAGGAGTGGTGAAGGTACGAGGAGACCGCCTTCGCTGCAAGACCTTTTGGGTCAGGAACCTGCACCTGTTGAGAGACCATCGTCAGGCTTAATGGGACAAATGGAACGAGGTACTATTGGTGGAGTGCAAGCCGACGAAGAACTCATTCCTGATGTTAGTGGTGAAGAGCAAACTGAAGATATGGCGGTGGTGAAGCGTGCGCTGAAAGAGTTGCTTGTGCAGACAAAGGAGCTGGGGAACAGGTTGCATCGGGTGGAGGAAAAAAGCTAGACCTCTGCTGCATCTGGGTCAGCTTCAAGGGCACGGAGCTCTGGAGTGGTGGACGCAAACACGGCATATCCTCTAGGAATGACTCCAGAGAAGCAGTACCTGCCAGGACAAGTTTTCTACACGGATGGTATGGGTGGTTTTTGGACTGTGTTGCCTGATGGGACATGGCTGCCTATTGAGGGCTACGACCTGCCAAAGGGTTGTGATCTTCAATCCTTGCCTGGGTCCAGGAAGGGGGATGTTCAAGTGGAGGATGAAAAAGAAGTGCCAATGATGCATGTAGCTGAAGGGAAGAAACCCTCCAGATTGCCTCCATTGAATTACCCCACGGGAGGTCCTGCAAGTGGTGGATATGCAAGTGGACCACCTGGTTTAACACATGTTCCGATTATTTCCGTGCCATCAGGTGTTGATGGTTCTGTCGCACCTGCGGGGAACCAGCCCGGTTTTGTTTCAGCTCGGGAAACTGCGACGCAAGAGAACTCAGCAGGATCGGGTGGATATACAATGGTGGATGATGTTCCGTATCGGTGGAAAATGGTCGCTGGGAAGTTGGAATTAGAAAAGGTTCCGCTCACAGCTGTTACGCCCGGTATAGGACATGGACTACCTCAAGGGCCTGGTGGAAGGGTCAGTTTACCTCCTGGAGCAGTGGTGCCACGCGGTATGCCAATCACTGGTGATAGTTCTGGAACCGAACGTCCGGAGGCTCTCGGGAAGCATGTGATGAGCCTTCCAACTTTGGCAGACTACACACCAAGCAATCCGACGGCACTGGGTGATTGGATCGCAATGATCGAACCAATGTTGTCTTCGCTGACAGATACAGGAAGAGTGTGGTGGCAATGCGTCTACTCAAAGGCATATCAAGCGTATGCCAAATGGTTGAGTGTTTCTCCACTGGAAAGGTTGGGCATCAAGGCTGAGCTAGAAGGGCTCAAAGTGGTTCAAACTGTGCATGTTTTGTTGGAGCAGAGAGCGGTGTCTTTGCTGCTACAGGCGATTCCGGAGAGATTGAAGACCGAGATCGTTTCCACTCGAATGTTGGGGTCAGTGATGATATTTTACAAATTGCTGACGGTTTACCAACCAGGTGGAGCAAATGAGCGCAGCACAATGTTGAACTTCTTGGTGCAACCATCTTCAGCAACCTCGATCTCAGAGGCTATTAAGGGAGTGCGACAATGGGCGCAATGGCGTTCCCGATTAAGGGAGCTGCGAGCATCCGAGCCGGACGCTACCTTGCTTATCAAGGGATTGGATGCTTTATCATCCGCGTTGCTGGCAAAACACCCTACGGTGCATTTCAGAGTGGCATCCTTTCGGGAGAAATTGGGGGTGGACTACTCGCCGACCTCTGAAACTGCGACACAACTAGCTGAAATGTTACAGGCAGAGTTTGAACTGCTATTGCATAGTGCTGGTGAACAGGAGGTGAAGCAGGACTCGGACGCCAAGAAAAGGGCCAGGTTAAACAAGGCCCAAAAGGGAACTGGTGACGAGACAGAGGAGGGTGACAAAGGCAAAGGGAAAGGAAAAAGGTACAGCGGAGATGGTGAACGTCCTTTCTGTTGGATATATGGGAAGACCGATGCAGGTTGCAAGTTCGGAGCCCGCTGTAAATTCCGCCATGACAAAGACTCCCTTGAGCGAGGAAGATGTTTTGAGTGTGGGGCCGTTGGCCATCTGCAGCCGCAATGTCCATATAAGGATGGTGCAAGTTCCAATGTGGACTCAAACCCTGAGAGAAGCAGATCTAAAGGGAATTCTCCCAAAGGGGGAAAGGGCGGCAAAGGTGCGAAATGGGGAAATGCCAAAAAAGCAGAGGTAGCTGAAGGGGGAGATGAGACGGCTAATGCGGGATTGGATAAAGGTTCTGCAAGTCCCCCATCACCATCAACACCCAATCAAGTCCTTGCTGAAGCGTTGGAAGTGCTGAAATCTATGAAGCTGTCATCAGCGCAGTCAGCATCGAGCGGGGATCCCAGTGTTCGAATGTTATGTGGATCTGGATTGTTTCAGCAGGAAAGGAGAGTGGCGTTGGTGGATACGGCTGCTACGCATCTTGTGCGGACGCTTTTTCCATGGGAATGTTTACCCGACACTACTGTTATGGTGCAAAGCGCGCTTGGTGGTGTGGCAATGAGGATTACAGAGAAAGGGACGTTGATTAGGGAAGACAATGGGCCCCTGATTATCCCTCTCTGGTTGATTTTGGAGTTTGGGGCGAACCTGTGATCAATGGGATGTGTCACGTGGGTGCAAAATCTTCGCTGGACCAGCTCTTGTGGTTTGAACATGGCTGTTTGGTTATGGATTACAAAACAGCTGAAAAAATGGTTTTGCATGCTGAAAGGCAGCGTGCGTCTTGGTCCCATTCTCAATGGAGGAATGGAAGGGCGGACTGTGGAGTCGGTTCGTCGGATGCCACGTTGTTGCCGAAGCAGGGAGAAGGCCGAGGAGTATGCGTTCTACATGTGGCCAGGGTTTCTGACACCAATGAGTGTTCGGGAATGGGCATGTTGGACTCGGGAGCATCACATCCTCTCAGATCACTTCGTCCTGGAGAACAGCTTCCGCAGCAAAAGGTGTTGGTGTCTTTAGCTGTTGGATCTCGGGAGATGTGTATTACCCCAGGTGGGACCCTGGTAACTCCTGAAATGGTAGATCCACTAGTGCCAATTGGCAAAGCGAGCGCCTTGGTTGGTCTCAGAGTTCAGTGGCGTGGTGGCAAGTGCACAGCCTCACATCCTGTTCTGGGGGAACTTCGCGTTCGTGATCTGAATGGGTGCCCTTGTTTGGAAAAGGAGGTGGCGCTTCAGATCATTGATGAAATGGATTGGTGCTCACCAAAGCAAGCTTTGAAGGTGGCACGTATGGTTCAAGGGTGTCCGAATACGGACAACGAGGTGGCTGTAAAAACGTCGTTGCAAAGCGCAGCGCGGACAGCGTCAGCGAATGAGGAGGAGTTCGTCCAGGCATGCTGGCGATTTCTTCGGTGGTATTATGGGGATATACCAGAAAATATGCTGATGGAGCTGTTGCCACGTGGAGATATTGCGGCGTTGCCTTTCAACCGTCATAAAAGGAGACGGCTGGCACGAGCAAAAAGGGTGGTGGTACACCTATTTTCAGGAAAACAAAAATGGCATTTTCCCAGTCGGGATGTGGAGGTACTGGAGCTGGATTTGACAAAAGGCGGTGACCTACATAATTCGAGCGTCTGGAAGTATCTTCTGCATCTGGCGGCTGAAGGAAAGGTGGTTGCTGTGGTGGGAGGACCTCCATGCAGGACAGTGTCAAGGTTGAGAGGTGAAGACGGTGGTCCACCTGTATTACGCCGACGCTGTGGGCCTGAACGGTTGGGGTTAAAAAGTCTTCCTTGGCCACATCAAGAATTAGCTCAAAAGGATGGTGTTTTACTTCTGAAGATGCTTTTCCTATATGACGTGGCGGTGCATTCAAGGTGTGGAACTGCTGAAGTCATCAATGGAAGTTCTGTCTTCTTTGGCATGGAAAGCCCTGGGGACCCTGAACTCATAGGGAAAGATTTCTCTCAGAACGGCAAAACGGTCTTGAGTGCTGAGGATCTGGT